TTAAATTTTCGTAGTTTAGTTAAAACGCGTCCAACGTGTTGCGATCGTGATGTACACGATAGGAAAATGGCACTGATCGTGTTTTAATGCAAGCATAACAATTTAGGATAATAATTTATTAAAATCAAGATAATTTATAATGTGTGTTCGATAAAGATACGAACTCTGATTTTATTTTCTAAAATAGCCTTCAATCAATTATAATATTTAAAAAAAATCTGAATTTAGCTTGACATGACTATGGTGACGATTGCAATTTTTTCTTAAGTTTCTTAGTGCCATTTGTTATTCGAGTGGATATTATAATAAATGTATAAAAAGTATAAGTGAATTTTTTACTGGTAATAATTGCATAAAGGTAATATTTACAATCCCCCAAATTTCACATTTTTAATAACATGTTCTTTCATTTTAATAGTGGAATATCTCTTATTGAAAATAGACGATAAAAATTTTATATTTAAAGAAATGTGGGCAATATAATTTATTTTTATTTAGGAAAGAGATTACAAATTGGATTATATTTTTTATTATTATCGAGACATTATAAATCGCGTGTGAAAAAGAAATGCTAATTAATACTTATACAATAGAAATGCTTACACACCTGATTTAAAAATTAAGGCAAGAGATTACTATCTAATTTTATACGTCAATCACTTAATGATTTTTCTTAAGCTCGTGAGAAAGATCTTTCTGAAGTAGCATGACAAATTCATTGATGTTATTCTCGTTTGAAGATTTATGATTTTTTTATACCAGGAGGTAGTGTTATATCAAATACTATTGGTGAATTACTTGGCAAATAATTTATATCACATGTTGATGCATTAATATATATGATCTTGCCATCTGAAGATATGCCATATCCTGTAAAATTATACATAAGATGGGTAAGATGATATCTCCCATATTAATATAAATATCCCATATTAATATAATATAATTATATATTATCATTACCTTCGTGTATATGACCAAATACATGGTATTTGGGCTTTACGCGATTTTGCACTGTCGACAATAATTCGACGCATCCAGCTCGTACTCCAGTACAGCACAGGTCCCCATGACCTACAGGAGGAGTATGTGTTACCAGGATATCTGTGTCAGATGGAATCATTTCCCACTTTGAGAGGCACGCTTCTCCACGTGGCACATTAAATGCCCATTTACAAAACTCTGGTTGCCTAAAGTTTCAACGAAATGTCCCTCAGAAATAAGAATCTCTTATACCTGAAATTATTTTCTACAAATATTTCGCATAGTGTATTCAAAAAAGACATGCATTAATTTTTTTACAATCGTAATGGTTAAACTAATCTTAAGAAATCAAATAAATTTTATGCGTTATTTAGTTTTTAAGTATTCAAATATAAAAATATAAAAAGGTTCTCGTAAAAATACAAGCTAGTAGTCTCTCTCTCTCTAAGAGTAGTCTCTCTCTCTCTAATTAATTTCATTTTAATTTTATCTTTAATTAAATATAAACATTACATATTCACTTTTATTAACTAAATTATTTAATACAATTGATACAATTGATGACAATGCTTACCAGGGAGTACCATATATCTTAATCCCATTCACTATAATCTCAGAATCTTCAAGATATATACAATTTGTCAAATAATCTTTAACATTAGTAGTTTTAATAGCTTCCGCGAGAGTATCCTTGGACATACCCAAGGTAGGTATATCATCAAGTATGCTAGTTCCTGTATGTTTCTGATGATCTCCACTGGTGTGCACGGAAAATGGATGTGTGAATGTAGGATCAAAACTAAGTTCATGGTTCCCAGCTATAACTATTTTGTGTTTGTGTGTTAAATTACCTAGAATTAAGATATGTCCTTTAACATCTGCATCTTTTGTTCAACATGTAAGCATTATAGTGTACACAATACACACGATAATTTTTTGTTTACCTATCCAATTATTAAATTCTATGACCTCTTGCAAGCTACCACATTTCGTAAAATCCCCGGCGTGAATGAAGACGTCTCCCGCGGGCACGTCAAATTTTATGAACGGCGTGAGCGAGTGTGTGTCACTCATACATACTACGCGCAACTAAAAATGAAAAATCACTATTGACCCTGTGATCAATGAGCTCATATTGACAATCGAATATAAAATTCCAAATTTTAATTCCGCTTTCTTCTCTCGAATGTATAATTAACGACTTTTAACAGACATATACAAGTGAAGGTGACTTTTAAGGTTAACACAAACAATTTCTTCGTATAGAGATTGGAATCAGTCAAAAATCATTGGACATACTTTGTCGCTCGGTGGTTCAGTCGTCGGCAATTTAGTATTTATTTTTACAACTTTTTGATGCTGAGATAATTCATGCCAGGCTGCCGTAGGATCAGCTGTCAATGGATGAATAGCTAACTTCATGCTGAACCGGTAAATGTAACTGCTTTTTGGCGTTGTTACGCAATGCGCACTAGATACTAGACTCAATGGATGTAACGTCAATGGATGTGATGTGCTGTTTTTAAATGGAACTTGTCTACTGGCGCCTCTATGTGCACAAAGCGAATACATAGAAGCAGAGAAAAACCTGAGAGAGGACATGACAGTCCAAAACCTGTAAACACAAAATACTGTCAATTGACATTGTCACCGACGAGATACTATTAAAGATTGTCAACCCTGAGCAAATTTTCGGCGGTATAAAAAGGGCCTGAAATTGAAGGTAATTGAAGGTAAATAATTGAAGGTAATTGAAGTTGCTGACATTATCGACAATTGATGTAAATTTGCTATTATTAACATAAATATTTGACTCATACATTATTAAATTCATAATTTTTTTATTACATAAATGTTTATTACATAAATAAACATGCATACTTGTAAAGCTATAATATTCTATATATTGTAGAAAAATTACAATTTTTTCTCTGCAATCATCTCTATTGATAATCAAACTTTGACAATCACTGAAATTATAATTTTAAAGAAGAATCGAGTATTATTAAGTTCTAAATGTATACATACGTCTATTAAACTAATAATCAAATTAGTACAATATTATCAGTTTTTAATTCTTAATTATTTCGATATTCACAAGGACGCGAACTCCCATAAAGATGTTGATCTCTAACAGTATCTCGTCGGTGACATTGTTTAAATTTTTGTGTATAAAAATTTATAATTATAAGCACATATAATTAACCTAAGCTTGGCTCATCTCCTTTTAACTTATTTTATTGTTAACAAAATATATTGTTCCCTTATTTTATTAAACATCTAATTTCTGCGTTAAATTT